TTCATTTTTAATACTTCAGAGACATACTATGCATGAAAATGTAGGTCTGGGTCTTGTGATTCTCACAATATAAAGCTCTTAGCTGTAGGATTTATAGTTTTTAAAATACGACCGTTTGAAGATGGCAACCGCCAAAATACTCTGACCTGTGTCAAGCTGCAGCAGCAAGTGATGTCATAGACAGGGCCTTTTGAACACCTGCTAATGTTTTTATACATGTATGGTTTAATGTAACTGTGCAACAACGTTGCAATTAAATGTGCTATATAAATGATAACAGTTACTCCGCCCACTCCAGTTGTAGACTACTGGTGGAGGCAAGAACACTTCACACAATTTCCCCAGAAATTGTAGCTTTTCTAGTAATAAAGTATATCGTTCCTCAAGTCAAGGGAGCCCTATGGATTGATAAGGGAGCTCTATGGATTGGTAAGGGAGCTCTATGGAATGGTAAGGGAGCTCTGTGGATTGCTAAGGGGTCCTATGGATTGATAAGGGAGCTCTATGGATTGGTAAGGGAGCTCTATGGAATGGTAAGGGAGCCGTATGGATTGATAAGGGAGCTCTATGGAATGATAAGGGAGCTCTATGGATTGGTAAGGGAGCTCTATGGAATGGTAAGGGAGCCCTATGGATTGCTAATGGGGCCCTATGGATTGTTAAGGGAGCTCTATGGATTGGTAAGGGAGCTCTATGGAATGGTAAGGGAGCCATATGGATTGGTGAGGGAGCTCTATGGAATGGTAAGGGAGCCCTATGGATTGCTAAGGGAGCTCTATGGATTGGTAATGCAGCTCTATGGATTGGTAAGGGAGCTCTATGAATTGGTAATGGAGCTGTATAGATTGGTAAGGGAGCTCTATGGACTGGTAAGGGAGCTCTATGGAATGGTAAGGGAGCCCTATGGATTGCTAAGGGAGCTCTATGGATTGGTAATGCAGCTCTATGGATTGGTAAGGGAGCTCTATGAATTGGTAAGGGAGCCATATGGATTGGTAAGGGAGCTCTATGGAATGGTAAGGGAGCCCTATGGATTGCTAAGGGAGCTCTATGGATTGGTAATGCAGCTCTATGGATTGGTAAGGGAGCTCTATGAATTGGTAATGGAGCTGTATAGATTGGTAAGGGAGCTATATGGACTGGTAAGGGAGCTCTATGGAATGGTAAGGGAGCCCTATGGATTGCTAAGGGAGCTCTATGGATTGGTAATGCAGCTCTATGGATTGGTAAGGGAGCTCTATGAATTGGTAATGGAGCTGTATAGATTGGTAAGGGAGCTCTATGGAATGGTAAGGGAGCTCTGTGGATTGCTAAGGGGCCCTATGGATTGATAAGGGAGCTCTATGGATTGGTAAGGGAGCTCTATGGAATGGTAAGGGAGCCCTATGGATTGATAAGGGAGCTCTATGGATTGATAAGGGAGCTCTATGGATTGGTAAGGGAGCTCTATGGAATGGTAAGGGAGCTCTATGGAATGGTAAGTGAGCTCTGTGGATTGCTAAGGGGCCCTATGGATTGATAAGGGAGCTCTATGGATTGGTAAAGGAGCTCTATGGAATGGTAAGGGAGCCCTATGGATTGATAAGGGAGCTCTATGGAATGATAAGGGAGCTCTATGGATTGCTAAGGGAGACCTATGGATTGATATAGGGAGCTCTATGCATTGGTAAGGGAGCCCTATGGAATGGTAAGGGGGCTCTATAGATTAGTAAGGGAGCTCTATGGATTGGTAAGGGAGTTCTATCAATTGGTAAGGGGGCTCTATGGATTGGTAAGGGAGCTCTATGGTTTGGTAAGGGAGTTCTATCAATTGGTAAGGGGGCTCTATGAATTGGTAAGGGCACTAGGAGCGCAGGGTCACACACAGAGTTAATAAACCTCATGTGGCAGAAATGTCTCTGCCACATGTTCCTGGAGGGGCCTCAAGACTATGGGCCATGCGAAAAGGCTCATAAAAGTCTCTGTGTTCGTGCCATTTCTCCATGCTTGTTAAGCCCTATCATCACCTCATAACGATTCTAACAGCAGTGTTCTAATTGTTCGTCTGAGTGGCCGCCGTTTGTGTGAACGACCACGAGGTAGTGGCCATCTTGTTCCCACGAACGCAGGCAGCGGTGTTTTGGCGTCGAACTCATGGAACTAAAATCGAGCACTGAAACCCCCGAACACCACTGGACTTCCATCATTGCCTGGGTTCGGTTCTATACAACTTAGAAGGGCACTGTTCGGTGGAATCGTTCACACGAACAAGGTGAACAAGCTACACATGTTAACTATGGATTCCATTTAGTATTTTATGCACTTTTATACTCCCGAAAGAGACCGACTGATTAGCACTGATTTCATGGAACTGTTTTGGGCATAGGACCATGTGTGCGGTCGGTCAAATAATTGACTTCCATGGAAAAACTAAACCACTCAACTGATCTAGGTGTTTATTGGATATGTTGGTCACCCAGATCGGGGCTATCCGAGAATGTAAGTTTTGTGGGGTTTCTCTGCAGGCCCGGACTGGCCATCGGGCAAATGCCCGGTGGGCCCCGATGGCCATGGGCTGAGGCCGGCAGGGGAGATCACAGGATCCGGGATATCCCCTGCCGGTTCATGCAGGGCCAGCACTATCCGAGAGCCGGCCCAGCTGTGTGCCTTTGTTGGCCGGTGGGGAGATCAAAGATCTCCCTCACCGGCCGACAGACACAGACATGCTGCCGCTAGCTGGGGAGGGAGGTCCGGTGGAGCTCTGACTTGCCGCTCTGCCAGCTTCCTCTCGCTAGGTTGGAGCGTTTCTGCGGTTACCATGGCAACACTCAGATCTCGCGAGAGTGAACTCTACCCCAGGAACTGCAGGGTAGAGTTCACTCACCACTAGGACCACCAGGGACTGCAGCCCGGCCCCCCTCCTAGGCTGATGGTAAGAAGGATGGGGGGCTATAAAGTTTAGTTTTTTTAAATTAAGAAAATAATAATACATATTTATTATATTTACATCTTGCCCCCACACAATTTCTCCAGACATACACACACACATGCACACACACTCACACTAACACACACAGCACCCTCAGACTTACACACTCAGACACACAGCACCCTCAGACACACACACACAGCACACTCACAGCACCCTCACACAGTACACACACACACATAAATATATACTACAGCACCCCTCAAAAAACTACACCACTACACACATTACGCTACAGATACACACTAGATCCCTTACGCAGCTCTGGATCATCTAATCTACACACACACACACGATCCCTATATACACTCTGAATCCTCTATACACACATGATCTCCTATACACACTCTGTGTCCTCTACACACTAAATCCACTGCACCTCCTACACACACTTCATTCCTGACATACAAACTCTGGATCCCCTATGCACACACTACATTCCTAGTAAGCAAACACACACTGCATTCTCTAAACACATACTTGCTACATCCCCTACACATACTACGTCACCTATACACACACACACTACAGCCCGTATGCACACACTCACTACAACCCCTACACACACTACATTCCTGACATACAAACTCTGGATCCTCTATGCACACACTACTAAGCAAACACACACTGCATTCTCTAAACACACACTCGCTACATCCCCTACACACACTCGCTACATCCCCTACACATACTACGTCACCTATACACACACACACACTACAGCCCATATGCACACACTTACTACAACCCCTACACACACTACATTCCTGACATACAAACTCTGGATCCCCTATGCACACACTACATTCCTTGTCAGCAAACACATACAACATTCTCTAAACACAACCTCTCTACAACCCCTACACACACTACGTCACCTTTACACACATACTACAGCCCGTATGCACACACTCGCTACATCCTCTATACACACTACGTCACCTATGGACACACTCGCTACATCCCCTATAACACTGCGCAGAACAAATACAGGGCCTTTTTCTAATGCCAGAGCTCTTCAGCGGGGCTCTGCGCATTGAACCAACATGCTCACTTTCAGAAGGGGCGTACTTGTCATTAGTGATGACAAAACACACCCTCTCTGGCCCCGTCCCCTTCTTAGGGGGCCGCTCTGATTGAAAAATGCCCGGGCCGCATTATTTTTCCAGTCCGGCCCTGTTTCTATGGATTTTAGGGGTACCTTTGGGATGTTTGTAAATTGTATGTTTTTGTACCTGAGAGATAATTTAATTATATGTTTGCTTCTCAGGTAATTATCTCTCAGGCACAGAGGATCATGGGAGGGATTGCCCTGTATTCTTGTATTGGAAACCCCTTGCTCATGTGTAGGGGGAGCAGCTATACCGCTATATCACTTGCTATTTTACCGAATATACATCAACTTCATACTGCCACAGGAGGTTTCAATGATCTACCGTCTATGCCAGGGGTCCTCAAACTCTGGCCCCCCAGATGTTGCTGAACTACAACTCCCATGATTCTCTGGCTATCTATGTAATTCAAAGAATCATGGGAGTTGTATTTCAGCAACATCTGGGGGGTCCGGAGTTTGAGGACCCATGGTCTATGCTGTTAATATTTGGACTTTAGTGAATAAAGAATAATTTATATAATTTTATCACATTTCACATACTGAGTGTTTTCTTCCTTTCCTTTTCTATGTTTTACCCACTCACCCACCTACTTACCCACTCACCCTCACCTCCTGGACCCCCCCTCTCTCCGTGGGGAACTCTGCTCCTTATCACTTGGCTCAGTAATTAAGAGCTGGAATCTCACCATCGTAGTGCTCCAGGGTTGCAGAGTCAGTACTGTTTTCGGACAGGATGTATACAAAATATTTTAGTCCATGCTCAACTGGTATGGTTTAGTTTAGTGTGGCAAACAGGGGGCTCAATCACCAGGTCCATAGCAGTCATAGAATATAAGTAATTCCCAAGCACACCAACTTCCTATTACACTCCATCATCCCAGGTCTAAACCTAGAGACATTTAAAGTGATCTACGTAATCCAAACTTATCCAAGTAGCTCAATTGAACATACAATGTGTGTGTATGAAAGCACAAGCTATGTACATCACAATTAGCAATAATATTATTCATTGAGAGACATAAGTGTTCACAAACGAAATACAGTAGTCACAAAAGGTCAGACTTTACATTATATACATAAAGATGACAGTCGGTGTATCATATATGTCAAGAGAATATAAATATAGCTAAACAAATTCAATTGGAAAAAGGCTGTAGTTCACACAACATATACGAGTGCCATCTTAAAGAGGCATCCCTTAATGCCAAACAACATATTACTATATACAAAAAGATGCACACCTTAGTTAGTAACTCAAGTCTTTTTATTATATAAACAAGGTTAATCAAACAAAAATATAAAAAATAAACACTGTTGCAAGACTATAACAACCAGTAACAGAGGCAATAAAACATGCACTAAATCAAAAAGGCATATGAACTCACTTGCATATTATCTCAAAGAGCTGGACCTCAAAGTATTTCGTCAGTTTAGGGGATTATTCTCTGGGTTTAGCCAAACCATAAAACTGAACGATACCTTCGTGGGTTTACTTGTATTTCGGCTGTTTAGGGGATTATTCTCCGGGTTTAGCTGAACCATAGAACTGAATGATATCTTCGTGAATTTACTTGTATTTCGGCTGTTTAGGGGATTATTCTCCGGGTTTAGCTGAACCATAGAACTGAATGATACCTTCGTGAGTTTACTTGTATTTCGGCAGTTTAAGGGATTATTCTCCGGGTTTAGCTGAACCATAGAACTGAATGATACCTTCATGAGTTTACTTGTATTTCGTCTGTTAAGGGGATTATTCTCTGGGTTTAGCTCAACCATAGAACTGAATGATATCTTCGTGAGTTTACTTGTATTTCGGCAGTTTAGGGGATTATTCTCCGGGTTTAGCTGAACCACAGAACTGAATGATATCTTCGTGAGTTTATTTGTATTTCAGCAGTTTAGCTGATTACTCTCCGGTATTAAGCTGAACCATAGAACTGAAAGATACCTTTGTGGGTTTACTTGTATTTCGGCATTTAGGGAATTATTCTCTGAGTTTAACTGAACCATAGAACTGAATGATACCTTTGTGAGTTTACTTGTATTTCGGCAGTTTAGGGGATTATTCTCCGGGTGTAGCTGAACCATAGAACTGAAAGATACCTTTGTGAGTTTACTTGTATTTCAGCATTTTAGGTGATTATTCTCCGGGTTTAGCTGAACCTTAGAACTGAATGATACCTTCGTGAGTTTATTTCTATTTCAGCAGTTTAGGTAATTATTCTCCGGTATTAAGCTGAACCACAGAACTGAATGATACCTTCGTGAGTTTATTTGTATTTCGGCAGTTTAAAGGATTATTCTCCGGGTTTAGCTGAACCATAGAACTGAAAGATACCTTTGTGAGTTTACTTGTATTTCAGCAGTTTAGGTGATTATTCTCCGGGTTTAGCTGAACCATAGAACTGAATGATACCTTTGTGAGTTTATTTGTATTTCAGCAGTTTAAGTAATTATTCTCTGGTATTAAGCTGAACCATAGAACTGAATGATACCTTCGTGAGTTTATTTGTATTTCACAGTTTTAGGGATTATTCTCCGGGTTTAGCTGAACCATAGAACTGAATGATACCTTTGTGAGTTTATTTGTATTTCAGCAGTTTAAGTAATTATTCTCTGGTATTAAGCTGAACCATAGAACTGAATGATACCTTCGTGAAGTTTATTTGTATTTCGGCAGTTTAGGGTATTATTCTCCGGGTTTAGCTGAACCATAGAACTGAATGATACCTTTGTGAGTTTACTTGTATTTCGACTGTTTAGGGGATTTTTCTCCGGGTGTAGTTGAACCGTAGAACTGAATGATACCTTCGTGAGTTTACTTGTATTTCGGCAGTTTAAGGGATTATTCCCTGGGTTTAGCGGAACCATAGAACTGACTGATACCTTCATGAGTTTACTTGTATTTCAGCAGTTTAGGGAATTATTCTCTGGGTTTAGCTGAACCATAGTACTGAATGATACCTTCGTGCGTTTACTTGTATTTCGGCAGTTTAGGTGATTATTCTCCGGGTTTAGCTGAACCAGAGAACTGAATGATACCTTTCGTGAGTTTACTTGTATTTTCGCAGTTTAGGTGATTATTCTCCAGGTTTAGCTGAACCATAGAACTGAATGATACCTTCGTAAATTTACTTGTATTTCGGCAGTTTAGGTGATTATTCTCCGGGTTTAGCTGAACCAGAGAACTGAAAGATACCTTCGTGAGTTTACTTGTATTTTGGCAGTTCAGGTGATTTTTCTCCGGGTTTAGCTGAACCATAGAACTGAATGATACCTTCGTGAATTTACGTGTATTTCGGCAGTTTAGGGGATTAATCTCCTGGTTTAGCTGAACCATAGTACTGATTGATACCTTTGTGAGTGTCTTATATTTCAGCAGTTTAGGTGATTATTCTCCGGGTTTAGCCGAACCATAGAACTGAATGATACCTTCGTGAGTTTACTTGTATTTCGGCTGTTTAGGTGATTATTCTCCGGTAGTGATGACCTGAACGGTTCGCCGAACGGTTTGCCACGGACAGCGAACATATGCGCTGTTCTGTCCGCCCCCTATTCGTCATCATTGAGTAAACTTTGACCCTGCACCTCACAGTCAGCAGACATATTCCAGCCAATCAGCAGCAGACCCTCCCTCCCTCCCAGACCCTCCCACCTCCTGGACAGCTCACTAAGAATGCAGCTTCACAATGAATGTAAAATGGATGCTATCCAGGAGGTGGGAGGGTCTGGGATGGAGGGTCTGCTGCTGATTGGCTGGAATGTACCTGCTGACTGTGAGGTACAGGGTCAAAGTTTACTCAATGATGACATTGGGGGCAGACCGAACAGCGCATATGTTCGCCATCCGTGGCGAACCGTTCGGGACATCAGTATTCTCCGGGTGTAGCTGAACCATAGAACTGAGTGATACCTTTGTGAGTTTACCTGTATTTCGGCAGTTGAGGGGATTAGTCTCCAGGTTTAGCTGAACCATACAACTGAATGATACCTTCGTGAATTTACTTGTATTTCGGCAGTTTAGGGGATTATTCTCTGTGTAGCGGAACGCCAATAATAAATCCACGAATTCCGCTGGTTCAGAAACGAATCCACAGTCAAGCGCTGAAACAACAAGGCAATATCCCCAACCTCCCAATAACCAGACGAGACACAGTTCTGGGAGTCAACTGACAACCTTTTAATCAGCAGGACAATTTATACAAGTCCCCATGCAAGGGGTTTCCTGAGTCCCTCCCCAGGGGCACTCCCAGAGGGGACTACATGGGGGACTTACATTACAGCATATTTCTCCCATCAGGCACTGCTGCACGAGAGGGATCATCTTCCCAGAATGCACCGTTAAGTGGATTATCCCCTCGTGCAGCAGAACCGACAATTCACATAAAAATCCATAACTTGGTGAATATACAGTGGATTTACACGAATGGACGTTCGGTAGATAGCTGGGGTCTGAGGGTATCATTCGTGAGATTACCGCTCAGATCCCAGCTAAAATAACCGAACGCCGCACAAACAACACAATTCGTATAAAATATATAAAAAGAACCGATTGCTTTTAGGGAACAAAATACCGAATGTCCCGAAACTCCCGAACGCCCTGGAGGTTCAGCGGGGCTCATGCCGTCGAGTAGCCGTTATTAGTACCAGGCGCTCGACGACATAACCCTGCTGAGGGAACAAAGGATCCAAGATGGCCGACCGCCGCATGGTCGGTAGTCGAACGACGGCCACCCAGGAGAGCCTCTAATTACCGATTGCAACATTGTTGCAATCGGTTAACTAGCGCCACACGCCTCTAAGTGTGTGGGCTATTAGGGGGTATCGCGTTTGGTTCACGAACGGCCCTCCAAAGTGCCGTTCGTGAAACGAAAGGGAATCCCCATACAAACCGCCATTTGCATTCGGCGGAACAGATAATTACAGACAATGCAGAAAATACATTAAGCATATACATAAGAGTAAAGCGCATATCTCCCCAGACCTATAGGCAACCCTTAAAGGTACAGTCTCTAGTTATAGTCCCAGTGGCTAGGTTTGCCACAATGCTCCCCCAGAACCAAGCCGGCATACACAGTCTGATCCCAACGGATCGGCTTGGGGATGTCCGGAGGAGGGCTCACAGATCATTTTTCAAGGTCTGTTTGTCTGGACAACCCGTCGGTGTTACCGTTTTGTTTCCCTGGGCGATAGTGTATCGTAAAGTCAAAGGGCTGCAGCGCCAAACTCCAGCGCAGCAGCCTGGCATTGTCTCCAGCCACATGGTTTAGCCACACCAACGGGTTGTGATCTGTGAGCAAAGAAAAGGGTTGCCCATAGAGGTACGGCTGTAACTTTTTCAGGGCCCACACCACGGCCAGGCATTCCTTTTCTATGGCGGCGTAGCTCACCTCTCGGGGTAACAGTTTCCGACTCAAGTATGCTACGGGGTGTTCTCCGCCATCGG